CAGATTGATTTGATTGATTTATGCTATCTACCTGGCCTCTGGGGCATATGAGTTTATAACCTAGGTCTAAATCATGGCTTTTCTTTTTCCCATTACAACACTTTTAATCTAGAGAATGAACTTTATATGTGATAATATATAATTAAATCATTGCGTAGGAAGGATTCATTGAGTGAATGGTTTAGAATAGAAAGGACTACATGAACTGGAAGATACTGAAGAATCCACCTATGATAAAAATAAGGTTGAGAGGTATTCTTACAAGCTGATGATATACTTTTCTAGTCAGAGTAGTGTCATTAATATAATTTTAGTGTTATCACTTGTGGATGGCTCCCCAAATTGTCCATATCCAAATCCCATTATCCTGTGAATATGTTACCTTACATGGCAAATGAGACTTTGCAGGTGTGTTTAAATTGAGGATTCTGAGATAAGGAGATTATTCTGGATTATCTGGGTAAACCAATTCAATGGGAAGAGACCTTAGAAGTGAAGAGTTAAAAGGAGTCTAAAAGCAGAGGTCAGACTGATATGATGGCTGGCTGGAGGCCACAAGCTAAGAAGTCAGGGCAGACTCTAGTAGCTGGAAAAGACAAAGAAACACATTTGTCATTAGAGCTTCTAAAAGGACCACAACCCCATTGATATCTCAATTTTAGTCCAGGGAGACCTATTCTGAACTTGATTTATAGAACTGGAAAATAATAAATTTGTGTTATTTTAAGCTACTACATTTGTGGTCATTTGTTATAGAAGCAATAGGAAACTAATAATCACTCACAGAAGCCAGATGATCTGAGATCTGAGGTATACATGTATAAGAGTTCTGGTTAGCTGAGAGAGAAAGAATAGGGTAGAAAGGGTAGGCAAAGATTTAAAATCATATGTAAGATTTGGGGGATGAAAAAGGGAGTATGTACAAGTTCAGTGATCAAAAGTAATCTCACAGGGTGATCTGACATAAATTCCCAACTAGGAAAGTTATGATGGGTATTAACCTCCAGGCCTAAAATGTTTATCTTACCCTTACTGTTTCTGTGCATCTAGGTCAACACACCTTTGAAATGCCTTTTTCAGATCCCTCAGAGGCATAACCACCCTCAAGTGAGCACATAATATAGTTTACTATCATGTACCTTGCTTTCTTTCACTTTCATGTCAATCTTCTTCCTTACATTCCCTCCTTAATTACAAATGTAGAAAAGAAACTGAAAAAACGGTCATCCTTTGGAGTATCTGAGATCTTGATTCCCAGCAATGTCATCAGTGTGGCTCAAATAAACTCATAAAAATTCTCTACAGGTTTAGATGTTTCTTACATTGATAATTTACACAGAGATATACAAAAGCCTATGGGAAAATATTAACTTATCTTTAGAACCAGAGAGAAAACCTTAGAAAGAAATGAAACCTTTTCATTAAAACATTTTTCATTTCTTTAAAAACGTTTTTATTTTTATTTATTTTTTAAAAACGTATTTAAAGAAATGAAAAACCCAATCCAACAAATCAGGAGTGGAAATTAGCTGTATCTTTTGAAGAAATATAGTTTTCAATGAAAATAAAGGGCTTCCCTCCTTCCTTCCTTATAAGAGAAAGTTTACTCAGAAAGGTATAAAGGTAGTAGAAGTGAGCCAGCTGGGCTACTTAGGCTCAGGAAACAAGTTAGAGGCAAAAGAGGGCTCTGGGAGCTTAGGAGTGAGAAGGGCAAAGGTAATATGCCTTGGGGGAAGGAGAAGGGGAAGGGCAAGGTGTAGGCATCAGGCATGCTCCAGAGAGAGAGCTCTGTAGGGCTTCTATTGAATCCTGAAGTGATTTACCATCTCTAAATGGTACAGATTGTACTTGCACACTTATTATCACACAAAAAAGTTAATGGTGCTTGTTTAAAGACTGAACATGTATTTGTTTGCCTCAGCTCCTTCCCAAACATGCTAACATGACACTAAAGGTGTTAATTAAAAAAGAAAGAAAAAAAAGGCTATAAATTCACAAGAATGAAGACAATTGTGTAAATGAAAAAGGAGTTCCATGAAAAGTAATCTCACAGGGTTACTGATCATAAATTCCTAACTGGGAGGGTCATACTGGGTAGTCATGCCTCAGGTATATAGCATTTTACTAAAAGGATTACCTTTGCTATAAGCAGGCTGTGTCCATTGTTCCTGTGCATCTAAGTTAACATATCTTTGAAATAAACTGTAATCATCCTCAAGAAAGCACATACAGTGGAACCTCGGCTTTCCAACTTAATTCGCTCTGGAAGGCAATTTGAGAAGTGATTTGTTTGAAAACGGGATCATTTTCCCATTAGAAATGATATAATGAATTAATTCATTCCAGACCCACCAATGATTCCCTGTTTTTACCTTTCTTACTAGTATATACAGTAAATGTTTAATCTATAAATAAACATCTCTTGCTTACATTTATCAAACCACGCCCTACTAGCCTAAACAAATTGATATTGTTGTAATAACCTGGTGATTAATTAAGAGGAAAGGAGTAAAGAGAAGGCCAGATAATATAGGCATGGCATTTATGCCAGGAAGCTGCAGTTTAACATTCTGGTCTGTTCCCCACATGGGGGAAGGGACTGGAAAACAAATGCATGTCCACTAAGGTCTGGATGACCTGGGAAAGTGCTTGTCTGTCAATCACACCTGGGAGGGAATCACTGTCTAGAATGGGCATGGCCACCGCAAAGGTACAAAATCTGAGATACACAGGCTCCTGAACAAAGGGAGTGCTCTCTCTTGCACACTGGGTTCCTGGTTCACTTGTTGCCCACATGGACTAAAGTCAGCCTGATGCTGTGGACTCAACTCCACCATGGAACAGAAACTTTGGACACTGGCTTTGCTTCTAGCTCTGCTGAAGCCCCCAGCTGCACCTTTTCCAGGACTAGTTTAAGGGAAATAGGACTTTGGAAACCGAGAGATAAAATTACACACAAATAAAAATCACTCATTCTTCCTGAGATTCTTAGAAAATTCTTTTTCTCAAGATATCATAAGAACTCCACTCCCACTAGCAACAGAAATTCCACCCAAGCAATTCTCCAATAACAGAATCACTTTCAGCCCTGGTTCCAGGGGTAACTTTCAGGAAGTCCACATGTAGCATCTTCGCTTTTTCACCTATCACTGCTTCAGAAATGCTGTCACTAACTGTTTTCCTTTATCCAAATCAACAATTTTGCTACCTCTTTAATTGCCTGTGATTACTGTTTTGTGTGCACTTTCACATCCTTAACATTAGCATTCTTGATGGCCTCTTTATGTTTTAAAATTGTGCAAATAATCGATTTTGCCAGCAACAAAAGCATTCTCGCTTTTCTTTGTGCTGGAGAGATGCTTTTAGTCATGCTGAGGTATCAGCATGAAAGGGCCGCCAGGTCCAAAACTGAGTTTTTTTTCTATGAACAACTTGGTCAAAAACCGAAGTGTTCGAGATGGGATACCCTGGTCACGGATCAAACCTGCAACCTTGACATATAAGGATGACGCTCTAACCAACTGGGCCACCTGGCCAGGGACCCAATGTTCATTTTTGTATTAGAACCTATTCCCTTTCAACTAGGGAATGTTACAGGGCAACATATATTTTTGCTAGTGAAATCTGACCCAATTCCCAGTTGGGGAATTCCCTCTGAGTTATGTAGTAACTGAGGGACTCCTTTCATTGGGCAAATAATGCAATCGATTTATAACATTTTGCCTATTCTACAGCATTTTCATTGTGCTTATCACCCCCAGTCCTCTGGAATGGTGGGTCTTACAAATGGTACAATTAAAACCCAACAAGCTAAATTTTCAGAAGCTTTTAGTCTCCCTTGACTAAAAGGTCTCCCTATAGTGCTTCTCAACCTGAGAGCTACTCCTTGAAAACACCGCCTTTCTCCTTATGAAATAGTCACTGGTTGCTCTATGCATCTGGAAGAAAGGGCATGTGAACCAATTTTACTCAGAGGAGACTTTATGCATTATTATCAACGACTTATTAATTGGCTAAAATAAATTGATAAATTAGCGACTGATTCATTTTTTAGTGTGCTGAAAGGAGATACAAAGACTTCAAAGACTGTAGCTTACAACCAGGAGATTTCGTCCGCTGCAGCAATTTTCAACCTTTTTCATTTCATGGCACACATAAATTAATTACTAAAATTCTGCAGCACACCAAAAAATATTACTATATTTTTTGCCTATCTGACAAAAAAATATATATATAATTTTGATTCATTCACACTGGTTGGCTATTGTTGTATTAGCTGTTGTCATTTTTTCTTATGACAATTGAAGGGACAAGAGGTCAGTGCCCTGACTGAACAGTCATGTTTTAAAAATTCTTGTGGCACACCAATGAAAATTGCTGGCATACATAATACTAGAAAAATGACACAGAAGGCAACAGTTCATAGGATAGAAATAATCCAGACTGTTTTCCCCCCAGAATATATATAATGCTTGATTGCCTTCCCTTTACCTGCCCTTCCCATTTGGGGAAAATTCAGCCTCAATTCAAATCTCATGGGTTACAGCATTGCCCCATCCCCCAAAAATCAATAAGACAATGAGGATACTGAGACTTCCTAGAAATGAGCCTTCTGGGAGCTGTGAGAGCACACTATCTACCAAAAGGTTGGACATCAGTGCATCCTTTGGATTGATTTATGACCAAAAGGGGGATCTGTGGACAAAAAGTGTGGTTCTATGGAAAGTAACTTCACAAGGTGATCTGATCATAAATTCCTAACTGGGTAGGTCATGGTGGATAGTAATGCCCCAGGCATGTAACTTTTTAGTAAAAGGTTTACCTTTGCCTTAAGCAAGCCCCCTCCATTGTTCCTGTGCATCCAGGTTAACACATTTTTTAAACTCTCAAGAAAGACATAATTTTATTATCTATCCTGTAATCCCATCCCGCCTTACTTTCACCTCCAAGTAATTTTCCTTCCATTCCCTCCTCCCTCTTTAATTTCAAATGTATAAAAATCTGCAAAATTGTTGTTCTCCAGAACATTTGAGATCTTATTCCCTCTCCAGCACATATTGTTTAAAAAAATAAAAGTAAAAGGACTTAGCCAAGTTTACATTTAGTATTGGAATTTTTATAGAATTTGAGTTGCTTTAGTGTTAAATGTAATCTATAGGCATTATTGTTTTGTTGTTCTTTTTTGTCTGTTGTTTTTATTTCATTTCAATATATTAGCTTTATAAAAGTTTTTTAAGTATTGAGAACATTTGACTTAAGTCTAGCATCTGAAGTCCTTGAATACAAATAAACATTAAAATTACAAATGCAGTTTTAAATTAAGTCAACTTAACCAAGTTTTAAATGTAAATGATTAAGGTAATTTAGTTCTTTCAATTGGAGTTATCTGTTATTTAAAAAATGATACTTTACAAACAATATTTTTAGGCTGAATTTAAAGGCTTAAAAACCACAAAGTTATAAAAATGTTACTTTAAGAAACTTGAATACCATGATTTCTAAATACAGTTAGGTAATTAAAAGTTATGCAGTCACTTTAAGTTGTAAAACAGTTTCATTCAGTAATTGAAATGCTCAGTGTCAACATAATAATCAAAAGTCTAAACTTCATTTAACTTTGGGGCTTATCCTCTATCCCAGGCTTGGGCTTATTGTAAATGAGAAGCCTGTTGTAATGAAATAGGGATTGTGGTTCCTTTTTCTTTTCTTTTTTTTTTTAACCTAGAGATAAACCTTACATTCTTGTTAAACATAGTTTTTGAACACTATAAAGGTAAAGCAGAATGGAGAGGGGAAAAAAAGAAAGAAAAGCAAAAGGGCTTACTTGACCACTTGATTAACCAACAATGAGACTATCAGGTGGTTAAGGGTTCTTTGGGACAAAACCCCACATCATTGGTGACTGTCACCTAAAGTTCCCTTTATATCAATTTCTTCTTCCTTCACTAGAAGGAAGCTCTCTACTCCCTCCTTAGAAACGGGTGATATGCAGCTTTTCTTTGTTGAGGTCCCACCCCTACCTCCAACCTCTGCTTCCACAGGTGGCTTTTTTGGGCAGAACCTCAGGTAAGTCCACAACTGGGCTCACAAGCATGCACTAGAACTACCTCTCTCCCTTTTTCTCCTTATTAAGCAACCTTGGGTAATCTTTAAAAATTCCATTATCAGCCCTAGAAAGTGTGGCTCAGTTGGCTGGAGCATCGTCCCGTGCACTGAAGCACTGAAGCTTGATTCCTGGTCAGAACACATATCTAGGTGTGGTTTGGTCCCAATTGGGGTACGTTCAAGAGGCAGCTGATCATTATTTCTCTGGAACATCAATGTTTCTCTCTCTCCCTCTCCCTTCCTCACTCTTAAAAAAAACAAAACCATTATCTTGGCCCTTTATAAACTTGGTATAGATAGGGGTTTGACGATGAGGTGATAATGTTTACTGAGTGGATAGCATTAAAAAATGTTTATTAGTTGGAGATGTGAACTTGGCTAGGCAACAGTAGTACTAGTATTCTAACACTAACCTAGGAGTTGCTATGAAGGTATTTTGTAGATGTGGTTAACATCTACAACCAGGTGACTTTAAGTAGCCCTGGCTGTGTAACTCTGTTGCTCGGAGTGTTATCCAGATACATCAATGTTGTGGGTTTGATCCGATCAGGGCACATAGAAGAATCAACCAATGAATGCATAAATAAGTGGACAGCAAATAGATGTTTTTCTCTCTAAAATCAATAAATGTTTTAAAAATTTTTAAAAAGATGAATTTAAGTAAAGGAGATTACACTCCATAATGTGGCTAGACCTCATCTAATCAGCTGAATCACCTTAAAAGCAAAACTGAAGTTACCTACCCTAAGAAAAAAATTCCACCTCAAGAGTATAGCATTAGGTCCTCCTGGAGTTTCTAGCCTGCCAGCCTACTCTACAATTTCAGACTAAGAGACACATAATATTGTAACTCCATTGTCTTTATTTGATGTATACATACATACAAATGTGTGTGTGTATCCACCCACACATTTCTTCTGCTGGTTGTGCCTGGGGACACTCCTGCCTATGGTTATCCTGCTTGATTAAGACTAGATATCTAGCCTGGCTGGTATGACTCAGTGGCTGACCATTGACCGGTTCGATTCCCCGTCAGGGCACATGCCTAGGTTGTGGGCTCAATCCCCCAGTGTGGGGGGTGCAGGAGGCAGCTGATCAATGATACTCTCTCATCATTGATGTTTCTATCTCACTCTCCCCTTCCTTTCTGAATTCAG